TTGGCACACACCACTACAAATTATGATTGTCAAATAAAGATAATAGCAGCTTAATAACTTGGTGCTTAGAAAAGGCACCATCAGCAATATTTTCTCCATAATACACACCCAAAAAAAAAAAATCTACCTCCTTGATGGAGAAGGCTGAACTTTGAATCATGACACAAAAGACATTCACAACATCACATTACATAGATAAGGAAATAAAACATTTCTAATAGAGAATCATATAATGTCATTTGTAATTCCTATCATGACACAAATGACATATACAACATCAAATTACATAGATAAGGAAATAAAACATTTCTAATAGAAAATCATATAAAGTCATTTGTAATTCCTACTATGACACAAATGAAATATACAACATCACATTCAATAGATAAGGAAATAAAACATTTATAACAGAGAATCATATAAAGCCATTTGTAATTCCTATGAACCCTGTGGTTCAACAAGAGAGCAAATTGTTAAGCTTCTGATTCATTTCAAACTAGCATGTTTCCTTCATTATATCTTAGCATATGCATACAAATTCAATCCAACAACTGTGTTATATATCAATTTGGTGAAGAATAGTTAAAGGCCACTAAAATATCTGTGAAAGAAGGTTACCAAATAGAGTTGTTTTCCTTTTCAATTAACATTTTCCCTTTAACTGAAATCTTATATGAAAGCTCAAATTTGCAAGAAGTATACCTTTTTGATGACCAACAGCTTGCTGGTGCGACTTTCCAGTATAATGATTAGTAAACAAAGCCCTGCTAACTGGAATGCTGGACATTCCAGAACCGCTTGCAACATTTTGATTTAGTTGGTCAGCCTTAGTTATTGCAGGGAATGGTTGAAATGATTCTGAAGAACTATCTCTTCCCAAAAGTGAATTTGAGAAAGAACTACTTGGTGCAGAGAAATCTTTGGCAGCATTTTCAGTAGACTGTCGCCCACCACCCACAACCCCAACTTCACGCTTAATAGCTCCAACAGCAGCATCAGGAGATGGCACATGAACAGGATCTGTGGAAGAAAAGTATACCCCAACAGAATTGCTTGATGCCAGTGTTGCAGTTTGTTCTTGGGAATTGTTAGCTTTCACCCCTTGCACCCGAGAAACTGTACCAGGAACCATAGTTTTCTTCGCATCAGAAGCTTCCCTCCTATCAGTACCACTAACATTAGATTCTTGAGCAGGTCTATGCTGTAAATCAGTTGGTCCATTCGAAGCTTGAGATAAACTCCGTCCACCAGAGGGCTTTTGACTGCTTGGAATTCCTGTTGGGCCACTGCAAAAGTAATTACAAGGAAGATTCAGCAACGAAAACCATAAGAAACAGAAATTAAAGCAGGAATATCTATTGGTAGAGGAAATAAATTGTGCTAATTTGGGGCCACTTCCAATGTACAAGTAAAGCAGACAGTACTAACAGGAACCTACCCCTTTTCAGCAGCATTTGGTGTCACTTTCTCATCAGTAGATGTTGAGCATTGAGGCGGAGGAGACTTCACATCCTTATTTGTATTTCGATTAACTCTGTTGTCTCTCACAACGCGGAACTCTCTATTGATTCCTGCATCTAGTAAAAGTCTATCCATCAACAGAAGAGCAATAAAATTGCCTCATAACAAACAATTTAGACATAATCTGTAGAACAAAATAGCTAAAAATCAATTAATGCATCAATGATAAAGCAAGGTATAAACAATTAACAGGTCAAAATTCTCATTACCAGGTAAAGCATTCCGAGTATAGCCACCTCTTCGACCATTACGCTCAGCAAATGTACGCACTTTGGTCATTGGAGCAAAATTCTCAGAATTTTTTCTTGGATCAGTTGAAACCTTGTAGCCCACAATCTGAGGCTAAGTACATAAGTATTGGGAAGCAAAAATACCAAATTAGAACAGCTTCCACAATGAAATCAACTTGAAAATACAGAAGTGTACTACAATTCTTGGTAAGAATTATCAAGGCAGTTGAATCAAAAGAAATTTTTTGCAAAGCCATAAAAGGTATCATTTACCATAAGTCCTATAAGCATTTTCATATGACAAAATAAAACATGCAGCAAATTTGCCTCGAAAAATCAAAAAGAATAAAAAAGAGAAAAAATCGTGGTAGTTGAACATTTAAATATATACAATACTGTCCAAATTTCCTAGAACTTCACTCAACATATGACCATTTTACAGGCAGGAGAAGCAACAAAATTCTTTTGGGATGTAAACATGATTACTAACTATAAATTTTTCTTATCAATCCTGGTTTGATCGTATAGAAAAGAACAACAAAATAATGTACAATATTTAATATTTGGAGGTGAATGACAACAACATCATTGAAACCTCAATGTCATATCCTAATTTTTTAAATTTCAAAAATGGTAAGGGTAGAAAATATTGATGCAGGAAAAGAAGACCACTAGCAATTAGCAGATAATGAAACAATGTCTAAACAAATTTTACCTCTTTCTTCTTGTCTCTTCTTCTCTTTACCTCATGGAATGGATCTGAACAACAAAACGAAATGCACATAAATAAAATATTAAACCCAAAATAAAAAATAAAAGAAGATAATTTCTAATAGATAAATAAACAAACAAAAGTTTTCATACAAACCAAACGTTCAAACAAAAAGAAAACCATCATCTTTGAGAACTACTACACATATTCAAGTTCTCTCTATTCACAAACACCAACCTTAAACATTCAAGTTCTCTCTATTTACAAACACCAAACTTTCCAACCACTGATGACACAGTTACATAAAGCTCTGAACAACAAAACACATTAATTCAAAGAAACATTATATTTAACGAAAATCCCTTAAAGTTTTGTCTCAAGAACCTTTCAAGAAACTTATCGCATTACAAAAACCACAGTTAAATATAAATCGCTATGTTACTATAACTAACAAAACAACCCAAAGAGATAAGAATTGCAATGCCACTATACAACCGAATTTGTTTAAACTAGTAACCAATTGTGAACTGCCCACCAAAATATACCAACACACGCTAACAAGAAACATCCCCATTTAAAATTATTAATTTTTTGCACCAAAAAAAAAAACTGACCTTGATTAAGCAACTTTTGAGCAGTTTCATTTGGGTCCATGTTAGAGTCTTTCAAAGCCACATAAATATCAGCATCCGAGTGATTACCCACAATCTCTTTGATCGTTTGGATGGTTTTCCTCACTCCCGCAGACAAAATCTGAGTCCCACCTTCGATTCTCGCTGACCCACCACTAGTGACCATCTCAAACGCCACGCACCGCCGCCACAACCGCCACCGAGACAAAAACCCACACACTTCCCAAACTCCACTTTCAACACAAACCTACCAAGTTTCCGCCCCAAAACAAGAGACCCAATACGCAGAAACGGTCAATTAAAGAGCTTGAAATGTATAAAGTGTCTGGTTTCGAGTTCGGTTGGTTATGGCTAAGGCTAGGGTTAGGGTTTGCATTAACACACATAAAAAGAGAGAGAGAATGAACGGCTTGTTGGAGGGTTTTGAAAACGTTTCACATTAAAAAAGAAAGACTATGAAGAATTGTTGTGGAAATTTGGGGTTTTGTGTCGAAATGACGAATTTGACCTTTGGGGATGGTTTAATTTGCATTAGGGTTTTTAGCATTAATAGCCATTTTGATAGATTGGTGTAATATAACAAATTTTCATAATTCTTGTAAAACTAGTCCCATAATGGCTTGATTACCAAAAATGCCCTTCATTATGTTCGTTGAACAAGTCATTGAGAGTCTGTTTAACTCGTCAAATTTAGTTCAACTATTAACTAGTCAATTATCAAATATCGTCTTAACACATTAAACAGTTTCATTGTATGCATTCGATAGTAAGTTAGACAATAGTTATTCAATTATATACAATTTGAAGCTAAGTATTTTATCGTAATTAAAGGGGGGGTATTTTTGTCAATTCTAATTGGCTTTGCTAATTTTCAAAACCAAAACCTAAAAACTTTAGTTATAGTCCTTTTCTTTCTTTTTCCTCTTTATATTTTTTTCCTTTTCTCTCTCTTTTTTTTTTTTTTTGTTTGGTTTTTCCCTTTTTCTTTTAAACTTTCTGTAATTTGGTGAAATTATTGAACTTTGTAATATAAATATCATTTATGGTTACGGTGGTATTGAAAAAAAGATACTGAAATTAGGAATTATTTTATCAAAGTTTCTTGTTAATCTTTTTCCTTTCTTTTTTTTTTCCTTTGCAAGGGTTGTCAAAAAAAAAAAAAAAAAAAATCTAATACATCGATTAAACAATTTTTATTTTTCTTTTAATACGATCATTAGATTAAAAAGAATATATTTCAAAAAAAATATTGATTTAATTATATGTTTTAAAAGCAAGATTTTTTTTTTTTTTTTGGATAAATCCAATAATTGCCTCTCCTGCTATCAAACATAAACCCCTAAAGAAGCCAAAATAATTTGTACTTACAATAATGATAAATTTTTTTAAACAATAATTGATTTTTGGAACAATGTCAAGAAGTACCTAAATTTACTTTTATAAAAGCAATGTTTAATCAAAGATGCTTTCATTTATTTTTATTTTTTCTTTCTTTGCCTTTAGTGTGGGATAAAGAAATATTGAATGACCTCTTCCATTCTTCAGCCATACAGAATTGGCCCAATTTCCTCTCTAATCTAGTTTTCAAAGAATATTTAAGCCCAACTAGATTGGCTTGTTTTAATATCTGTTATAAAAATGAAACTCGAATGGAGAAAAAAAAACCTACATAGGAGTTTTTCACCACATCATTATACTGATACGTTGAAACTATCTAATAAAACAAAGAAATAATATAGTTATTGAAAGGAGTATACTAGATGACATGACGCAATTCTGATCGTTGATAATTATGAATTAATATTATCGACGATCAAGATTGTGTCACATCATTTGGTGTATGAATTTGATGTACTATTTTTGGTAACGGAAGCATTACTTATAAAACAAACTCAGAAAGGGTGGTTTAAGTAATGTTAATATCACTATGACTAAAGAACTCCCATTAATTTTCATTTCAACACATATTAAACAAACTCTAAATGACCAAATAATTGCACATTATCAACCCCAAAATAAGAAATTAAAAAGAAAAATTAAACACATCCCTTAATATATAAATTGGAGCAAAGGTAGAAACCGAGGCATTGTTAAATATATGTATAAGCTATCTTATGAGGTTTTGTCCCAGGAACTTTGTTATAAGGAGAAGACACAACTTGAATGTTCGTTCAATCACCGTTTCATGAACTTGCTCAATCACAAGTATTGTTCTTGTATCCTCGCTCGGTTTTCCTCCCACCATATCCTCGCTTGCATCTCTCCAAACCGTTCTCGGCTGCAAATGGAAATGTATATTAAAGACAGTCGGATTCAAATTGTTGAATATGTTTAGGAAGTAACAGTTTTTAGGTTACCTGAAACGGACACGTCTAAGCTCCCGTGTACCACCAGGAAGTGATCTGATAGTAATGTACACTCCTGGTTCATCTTGTTCAACCCATTCAGTCTCCATATCGCTGGCATTGCCAATGGAAAGCTCTCCGGATTGATCAGCCTCTCTTGAGGAACTAGTCCTTGCAGAACCGTCTATGGATGATGTCTCTGTCTTGGTGCCACTAATGCTTGAAAGTTTCGGAGTGGAAGCAAGACCAGCTGAGTCATAAAATTGGCGGGATTGCATTGGTTGGTGGTCTAGTGAATCTGATGAAGAATAGCCTACTCCCATTGGGCGGTGGAAGTTGCGAGGGCGCTCATTGTTCAGTGGGGGAGTAACAGGGCTGTCCTTCGCAGATCCAATTCTCAAGCTCTGAAAGCAGGTGAAAAATACTTATAAGCACCAAAACATTCGTACCTGTAGGCAGCAATCCATTCGTTGAATGGAGCACTGACCAACCCATGATAGATGGTATAAAGTCAAAAGAATTATTGCACTATCATAGTCTAAACCATTTACAAGCCTGTGCGCGTTGTCATAGTCTAATCCAGTTTCAAAGCAATGCAGAACGACATAATTTTGTTCCAAGCATGTATCCAAGTGCCTGGTAAGGAGTGTCTCAATCCTATATAGTATTTATGCAGAAACAAAGTCTTGAGATCGCTTTGTTTGATAGTAATTCTGGTGTGAACTTACCTCATCTTCAGATCTTGGTGAAGTTGGAAGTGGGACTGCTTCACGATTGAAACGTTGAACATTGTATAACTCCATGACTTTGTCATAGTTCTCTGCCCACCATCTTTGAGCTTGCCATTTGTTAAACATTTCGCGACTGAGGAGATGATCAAAATAAAGATTAGCACTATTAAACAATTACAGGAAAGGGAAACAAAGAAGAATGCCAGAGAATGAAATGATAAAATTTTTGCAGTTCTGCAATGTTAAAACAAAAAGTCTACACGCTAGACACTGGAAAATTAGTGATGTTAGTCGTGTTTATAATATTAGCTGCTAACATCGAAGAGAAGATATTTTTAGCAAACAAAGAAAATCATATAATATATATATATATTTATATTTATATTTGTTTTCAAGAAGACGGGATAACCACATAAGGAACATCCAGGAATAACAAAGCAGAAAATAGATGGAAAATTCTACACTTAAAAAAATGTAAATTACAATAACTTGACTCCAACTGATGGATGAAGCCACCTTTTAGTTTTTATCCAATTGAAAAACAAAGCCAGATCTCTGTAAGTGCAACCCCTCATAAAGGTATTTAGAGACATAAAGGGATTGATGTTGTTGTGCTTGGTTGCTTCCATTTCATAAGGGTATTCAGTGGCACAGTGAGCTTTTATAGTTACAACCAATATTAAAATTGCGCTGTGACATCTATTGGAAAGAAAAGAATCTCCAAGTCTCCAGATTACCCTACTTCAAAGCATGACAAACCTGATAAAAATAGACAGAAAAGGATCTCTAATTCTCCATACTTACTCATTGTTGATGATCACCAAAGAAGCCAAATAAAATCTCTCTTGGAAAGCCTAAAAACGTGGGAAAGGAATAATGATCAAGATTGTCCAAACTTTGCTCCACCCAAACTTGAAAACAGGTAAAGCAGAACTGTTCATATGATTTTTTGGTCCATCAAAGAAAAAAACAAACTAGTTGACAAGCAATGATAAAATTCTTGTACAGTGGAGTGAATTCTTTTGGAGAGAGGTCGCTTTCATCAGATAATGTAATTTTTTATCATGCATTTCACACAGGACATAAGGGACCAAGAATACCAACACATACATGTGCACCAGACATGAATTTATTCCTCATGCCATGCCCATTTCATCAATCAGTGTCCTTCAATTTACCGCCCCAAGACACTGGCGTAACTACATTTTAAAAGTTCAGTCATTTTACACCATACCTAAAATGCTGGAGCAACTGTCTAATTTTCAAATAATTACTAAGCTGATTACTATTTTATGTTTAACTTTTATTTCCAACTAATGCAAACAATTCATGATTCACTGGAATTAGAACAGAGAAGTGATGCATATAGAATCTCTAAAGTCACACCCATACTTGCAGAACACTTCAATCATGGCAAATGACTGATACAGTAACATGTCAAATGCAAATGCAGTGCATTACATTTTCAATGAATGCAAGCATAGATAGATTTTACTGGAATTCAACAGAGTGGCCATGCATGAAGGAGCCCTAAAGACAGACCCATACTTAGGGGCCCCTTCAATAGACAAAATGAATGTGATATACAGTAACAGGTCACATGCAAATTCAGAGACCATTGACACAAAATCAGAAATGACAATTGTCATTGACATCTCCAATTACCAGTAGCAAACTAAAACAGGTGCACACATTCAAATAAATAAAACCTTCAATACCATATCAACATATCAAGACCAACAAAAAATATCCAATATACAAAGGACATTGCCAATATTTGACAAACTCAATCACCATTTCCATACTACAAAAGTTTGATGACACTCAAACAGATAAGACCCTTCACTATCATACCATCATTAAATAATCGACAGTGTACCTGAATCGAATACGCTTGAGATCATTTCCTCCCTGAGGCAAGGAAACAAAAGTTATTAGAACACCAGGCTCCACTTGTGCAACCCATTCCTTGGGTTCATCCTCCTCCATAAAAACTACAGACTCTGTTCGTCCACTAACTGATGCAGGAGTCCCTTCACCACTTGATAAGCCCTTCAATCTTGCTTCCATTTCTTTCCCCCACATTCTTGGTGTTGAGTTGGAACTTCCCGTTCTACGGTATGAACAATGGAACCTTGCCGAGTCTGAGGCAGCATCCGAATCAGCAGAGTTTCTATTCTGGTTACAGTTGGATGATCCTGAACATGGTTTGCAGTTTCTATACGCTCCAGATGCTTTCAGTGCCATGTCTTTGATCTAAAATTTATAAAAAATTTAAAAATTAAAAAAATGAAAGGAAAAGAAAATTTCTAAGATACTAATTCCTCTTTTAAGGGAAGAAAAGAAGAAAAAGAAATCCAAGTACAAATTTTTAAATTATCTTTATTTTCCTAATTTTTTAAAAGTTAAACCAACTAAGCCTGGTACAGGCACAGAGCTAGAGTAACTTTGATTTTCTTTCTACTTTCTTTATCAACCTGACATAACTGCTAAGAAAATCTTGTCAAGGAAAGAATTCTCTGCTACTAGCTATAATATGATAAGAGAAAAGAAAGGAAATTCTGGGAGTGGTTGTTCAACACTTCAACTCTTTTCACTTCAATATTTGTTTAACTTCATCCATTTAATCAGTGGACTTTCCCTTTATATCCTCTCAGCTACCAAACATCCAAAACTATAATAGTCAGAATAAATAAGATTTCTATTCCTTTTCTCATACTTTATCAACAATCAAAGAAAGCCCGCTCTTGAGACCATTACCTGAGATGAAAGGTCTTTTTAAATTAAGCACATTAATTTTTAACCCTTTTTTTATCACATATTCAGTATCAAAATTATAAGATGCAAAGCCTCCTACTACCTATTCCACTATTCTTTTGCATATTTTCTCGTAAACAAAACAATTGAATAAAACAAAGTAATAGTGGAACTTTTTCTCTTGTCCTACACTCCTACTACCTCTACAAAAATTTTAAAAAGAGAAAAAACTCAGATTCCCCTAATTTTCCCCCACTTTCTCAGGAACCAAATAGGCAGAATAAAACAAACAAATAATGGAACTTTTTTTCTTTTGTCTCATTACACCCTAAAAAACAAAAAACATAGAGCCCCAAAACGCAAGAACCCTCCTCTTTTCTCACACAATTACCCAACAACCATACAGAGCCTGGCTTCATTCACTATTTCTGAATGTTTTTAATTTCAAATATTTGAGATTCAATCAACCTCAACGGCTCAACCTGTCTGGTTGTCAAGAAAACAAGGGAAAAATGTTTCTGGAAACTGAAAATCTCAACATAACTCAATCCAAAGACCTGAATGAAGCACACCAAAGTCAAACCACTATAATTGTCCTTTTGGCACATAAACCGAAAATCATGACACGCAATTCTCCAATTCCTTTTATGTTCTGTCACTTTCTCATCGCCTAAACAGAACTTAAATTAACCCTTTCTTCCTCATATTTTTACAACTCTTAATAATAAAATAAATTACACAAATAAAACTCAAAACCCCAATTCCTCCAAATTTTCCAACAGTCTCGCTCATTTTCTGAGATACCAAACAGAACTTAACAATCTTCATCCCAGTCTTTTTACACATCCAAATTTTCCAACATTTTCTCAGCAACCAAACACAGACCTCCAAGAATTAAAACTCAGATTCCTCATTTAAATCTCATAAATAAACAAAATACTAACAATAAAACCCAAAAACCACAATTCCTCCAAAATTCCCTCATTCTCTTAGCAACCAAATACAAAGCACCAAAGCATTCACACTCACATTCTTCATTTACCTGAGCAGAGAGAGTTTTAATGGCCTGCTTAGTCCTCGGTGTTCCCACAACCTCATCATCCTCCTGCTCCGGCGGCAGAGATCCATTCTTGCTCTTCAGCTGCTGATGCTGCAGCTGCTGCTGCTTCGAACACGCAATACACGTCAGCATCTCCTCCAATAACTAACCACAACAAAACCAAACAAACAGATCAGATTCAATCCCTTTCATCACACATTCAAACAAAACAAAACAAAAAAAAAAAAAAAACACAGTAACGTTACCATAACCAACAAACAAACAACAATTCATTCCACAAACGATATCAGATTCGTACTGCTAAGCAACTAACCAACGAACTTCAACGTCAAACAAAACAAAACAAACAAACAAACTACCACGGCAACGTCACCGGACCAGCTCCGTCATATCATATCACAACAAAAGGCATTGTAGTTTAGTTTAGTTTAGTTAGTTAGTTAGTTAGTTAAAGAGTGAGAGCTTACCGTGAGAGAAGGAATCGTGAAAATTTGTTCGTCAGGTACAGATATAAAAAGGGGGGGGGGGGGGGGGGGGGGGGGGGGGGGGGGGGGGGGTGCCAGAGAATGAAATGATAAAATTTTTGCAGTTCTGCAATGTTAAAACAAAAAGTCTACACGCTAGACACTGGAAAATTAGTGATGTTAGTCGTGTTTATAATATTAGCTGCTAACATCGAAGAGAAGATATTTTTAGCAAACTAAGAAAATCATATAATATATATATATATTTATATTTATATTTGTTTTCAAGAAGACGGGATAACCACATAAGGAACATCCAGGAATAACAAAGCAGAAAATAGATGGAAAATTCTACACTTCAAAAAATGTAAATTACAATAACTTGACTCCAACTGATGGATGAAGCCACCTTTTAGTTTTTATCCAATTGAAAAACAAAGCCAGATCTCTGTAAGTGCAACCCCTCATAAAGGTATTTAGAGACATAAAGGGATTGATGTTGTTGTGCTTGGTTGCTTCCATTTCATAAGGGTATTCAGTGGCACAGTGAGCTTTTATAGTTACAACCAATATTAAAATTGCGCTGTGACATCTATTGGAAAGAAAAGAATCTCCAAGTCTCCAGATTACCCTACTTCAAAGCATGACAAACCTGATAAAAATAGACAGAAAAGGATCTCTAATTCTCCATACTTACTCATTGTTGATGATCACCAAAGAAGCCAAATAAAATCTCTCTTGGAAAGCCTAAAAACGTGGGAAAGGAATAATGATCAAGATTGTCCAAACTTTGCTCCACCCAAACTTGAAAACAGGTAAAGCAGAACTGTTCATATGATTTTTTGGTCCATCAAAGAAAAAAACAAACTAGTTGACAAGCAATGATAAAATTCTTGTACAGTGGAGTGAATTCTTTTGGAGAGAGGTCGCTTTCATCAGATAATGTAATTTTTTATCATGCATTTCACACAGGACATAAGGGACCAAGAATACCAACACATACATGTGCACCAGACATGAATTTATTCCTCATGCCATGCCCATTTCATCAATCAGTGTCCTTCAATTTACCGCCCCAAGACAATGGCGTAACTACATTTTAAAAGTTCAGTCATTTTACACCATACCTAAAATGCTGGGGCAACTGTCTAATTTTCAAATAATTATTAAGCTGATTACTATTTTATGTTTAACTTTTATTTTCAACTGATGCAAACAATTCAAGATTCACTGGAATTAGAACAGAGAAGTGATGCATGTAGAATCTCTAAAGTCACACCCATACTTGCAGAACACTTCAATCATGCCAAATGACTGATACAGTAACATGTCAAATGCAAATGCAAATGCAGTGCATTACATTTTCAATGAATGCAAGCATAGATAGATTTTACTGGAATTCAACAGAGTGGCCATGCATGAAGGAGCCCTAAAGACAGACCCATACTTAGGGGCCCCTTCAATAGACAAAATGAATGTGATATACAGTAACAGGTCACATGCAAATTCAGAGACCATTGACACAAAATCAGAAATGACAATTGTCACTGACATCTCCAATTACCAGTAGCAAACTAAAACAGGTGCACACATTCAAATAAATAAAACCTTCAATACCATATCAACATATCAAGACCAACAAAAAATATCCAATATACAAAGGACATCGCCAATATGTGACAAACTCAATCACCATTTCCATACTACAAAAGTTTGATGACACTCAAACGGATAAGACCCTTCACTATCATACTATCATTAAATAATTGACAGTGTACCTGAATCGAATACGCTTGAGATCATTTCCTCCCTGAGGCAAGGAAACAAAAGTTATTAGAACACCAGGCTCCACTTGTGCAACCCATTCCTTGGGTTCATCCTCCTCCATAAAAACTACAGACTCTGTTCGTCCACTAACTGATGCAGGAGTCCCTTCCCCACTTGATAAGCCCTTCAATCTTGCTTCCATTTCTTTCCCCCACATTCTTGGTGTTGAGTTGGAACTTCCTGTTCTACGGTATGAACAATGGAACCTTGCCGAGTCTGAGGCAGCATCCGAATCAGCAGAGTTTCTATTCTGGTTACAGTTGGATGATCCTGAACATGGTTTGCAGTTTCTATACGCTCCAGATGCTTTCAGTGCCATGTCTTTGATCTAAAATTTATAAAAAATTTAAAAATTAAAAAAATGAAAGGAAAAGAAAATTTCTAAGATACTAATTCCTCTTTTAAGGGAAGAAAAGAAGAAAAAGAAATCCAAGTACAAATTTTTAAATTATCTTTATTTTCCTAATTTTTTAAAAGTTAAACCAACTAAGCCGTACAGGCACAGAGCTAGAGTACTTGATTGTCTTTCTACTTTTCTTTATCAACCTACATAACTGCTAAGAAAATCTTGTCAGGGAAGAATTCTCTGCTACTAGCTATATATGATAAGAGAAAAGAAGAAATTCTGGGAGTGGTTGTTCAACACTTCACTCTTTTCCCTTCAATATTTGTTTAACTTCATCCATTAATCAGTGGACTTTCCTTTATATCCTCTCAGCTACACAACATCCAAAACTATAATAGTCAGAATAAATAAGATTCTATTCCTTTTCTCATACTTTATCAACAATCAAGAAAGCCCGCTCTTGAGACCATTACCTGAGATGAAAGGTCTTTTTAAATTAAGCACATTAATTTTTAACCCTTTTTTTATCACATATTCAGTATCAAAATTATAAGATGCAAAGCCTCCTAACCTATCCACTATTCTTTTGCATATTTTCTCGTAAACAAAACAATTGAATAAAACAAGTAATAGTGGAACTTTTTCTCTTGTCCTACACTCCTACTACCTCTACAAAAATTTTAAAAAGAGAAAAAACTCAGATTCCCCTATTTTCCCCCACTTTCTCAGGAACCAAATAGGCAGAATAAAACAACAAATAATGGAACTTTTTTTCTTTTGTCTCATTACACCCTAAAAAACAAAAAACATAAAGCCCCAAAACTCAAGAACCCTCCCTCTTTTCACACAATTACCCAACAACCTACAGAGCCTGGCTTCATCTCTATTTCTGATTTTTTTTAATTTCAAATATTTGAGATTCAATCAACCTCACGGCTCAACCTGTCTGGTTGTCAAGAAAACAAGGGAAAAAATGTTTCTGGAAACTGAAAATCTCAACATAACTCAATCCAAAGACCTGAATGAAGCACACCAAAGTCAAACCACTATAATTGTCCTTTTAGCACATAAACCGAAACATCATGAACACAATTCTCCAATTCCTTTTATGTTCTGTCACTTTCTCATCGCCTAACAGAACTTAAATTAACCCTTTCTTCCCATATTACAACTCTTAATATAAAATAAATTACACTAATAAACAAACCTCAACCCATTCCTCCAAATTCCAACGTCTCGCTCATTTTCTGAGATACCAACAGAACTTAACAATCTTCATCCCAGTCTTTTTACACACATCCAAATTTTCCAACATTTTCTCAGCAACCAAACACAGACCTCCAAGAATTAAATCTCAGATCTCATTTAAATCTCATAAATAAACAAAATACTAACATAAACCCAAAAACCACAATTCTCACCTCAAAATTCCCTCATTCTTAGCAACCAAATACAAAGCACACCAAGCATCACACTCACATTCTTCATTTACCTAGCAGAGAGATGTTTAATGCCTCTTAGTCCTCGGTGTTCCCACAACCTCATCATCCCCTGCTCCGGCGGCAGGATCCATTCTGCTCTTCACTCTGATGCTGGCTGCTGCTGCTTCGAACACGCAAACACGTCAGCACCCTCCAATAACTAACCACAACAAACCAAACAAACAGATCAGATTCAATCCCTTTCATCACACATTCAAAGGAAAAAAAAAAAAAAAAACCCAGTAACGTTACCATACCAAACAAAAACACAATTCATTCCACAAACGATATCCGATCGTACTGTAAAAGCAACTAACCAACGACTTCAACGTCAAACAAAACAAAACAAACAAACAAACTACACACGGCAACGTCACCGACCAGCTCCGTCATATCTATCACAACAAAGGCATTGTAGTTTAGTTTATTTTAGTTAGTTAGTTAGTTAGTTAAGAGTAGGAGCTTACCGGAGAAGAAGGAACGTGAAAATTTGTTCGTCAGGTAACTGCAAGAACTTGACGAATCAAACAGTAGAGGAGAAGAAGAGAAGTGACCGTTAAGGCATGGTTAACAGCAAGTAGTGAGGCAAGTTCTTGATTGTTGATTTTTTTTAAAATTTTAATTTAATTAAATAAATTGTTGTGTTGCGTTGTAAGAATGAGTAAGATTTAAGAAAGAAGACACAGAGGTTTGTGAAATGGAAATAACAAATAAATTATTAATTAATTAATGCAATGGCTCCTTTGTTAACGTGAGGAAATGAGAGAGACTGATAGCTATGGAATTTGGGCACCGAGTGGCAAGTTGTAGTAAATTTAATTAAAAAAATTTTGAGTTCAAAAGTTTAAGTTTAAGCTAACCTATTTGTCATGGGCCCCACTTTTGTCCACGTCATTTTCCGTATTTGGAAATTTTCACGATTTTATAATATTTCTATATAAGTAAATTTATAGTCAAATTAATTTTAATAAATTACCAACAATAATTCTATATAGTAAATTTTAGCATCCGTGATTTGATGAGACAATAGGCTGTAGGCGGAGTGTGGCGCGCGGGGGCGCTTGTCTTTAATTTGGGGTGCACCATGGCGCCGCCCTAGCTAGCGACAGGCTCGATCAAAAGAGAGACCTAAAGGATAAAAAAGAAGCTGCTCTATGACTCTATCTCTAGCCAGTATGGGTTTCCCTCGTGGGCCTTTTCTCATTTTCACATTGTGGCTCAATTTAGCCTTTTTTGGGTACAACAAATCATATACTCTTATTAGTTCCGTTATATTATTAGTTCGATAATTGGAAAAACGTCGGGTTTTACAACCGTCCAAGCACTTTCGTTATGTATTAATCTCACTTAAAAATTAGTTAAGTATGCGTAAACTGTCCAAACACTTTCGTTACAAAAATATAAATTTTTTTTACTTAATATATGTGATTTTTGGGTGGTGGTAGGTGAAGAATTAATAGTAAGTATAGTTAATGTGACCATTAATTAACTGTTTCCATTAATTACAATAAATTATCTTTTATTGTACTTGCTATTGTTGGTAGGCTACATTTACATCTATTAATTTGCAATAAAAAAGGAAAAAGTTTTAACCTAAGATCTAAAAGTGTCATATGAAAGTTAATGCTAATATACCACCTCTCTTTTTCTTTTGTTAAAAGCCCGACAATTATTGACATATCTCTATCCTAATAGCACATCATCATTTCCGATTTTTAGGTAAGGTAAAATTAAATCTAGATCGATAATATTTATCTATTCTTGTACTTATCGTACTTTTTATTTTTTTTTAGTAACTGAGGTGTTCAAACTATTTGCATTCATCTCAACTAATCTTTGAATCTATCATAAAGTTTAAACTAAAAACTCAAGAACTGGAGTAAATCTCTTTGACCGCTGAGTGTTTTCTTCAAGATAAAAGATAAACCGAGGGGCCATGAAACGAAAGCTAAGGCATCACCTCCCAATCAATTCATATTCCTAAAAATACTCGTATGAGCACATGCAACAATCCATTTGGTAAAAGTAATTGAATTCTTAACGATCAAAAATGGTGGTCCAAAGTGTTTATTTTATTTTATGTCCATTAGTGTAAAATCGGGACCATTGATTTAGTATCGGGTTGATTGACTCCTGAAATGACTAACTCTCAATGTGAAATGTACTTTGAGGAAGACTTTTAACATTGTAAGAGACACAACATTTTTGGAGTTTCTCTTTTGTCCAAAACACTTGTTTATATCTTATTAATCTAATATTATTGATCGGAGAAGATTTAGTCAGAATGCAAATGATAATCACGTGAATTAGTATTAATTTAACCCAATAATTAATTAATTTTAAGTTTTCAATTGTACACTTACATAAATTTACATATAACTTAATTTTTTTTTTTTGTCTAAGACAATTTACACGCACCTTAGACTTTATTTAAGAAAAATTATCCCACATTAACCCACACTGCGATCCCTCTCCTCGACTATTTCTTAGGAGAAGTTCTTCCACATTAACCCATCTCTAAGGTCCCCTTGATAAATTATGCGCAAAGGTACTTTCTTTACGCCTAGCAGGGAATGGAACATGGGACTGTGAGTTAAAGTTATAACACATCCCCTTGGTTCTACAATTTCACCCGAATTAGTATTAATTTAACCCATAATTAATTAAATTTTAAGTTTTCAATTGTATAAGTTCATATAACTTAATTTTATTTTATTTTTCAACTGAGATGTCTGGACAATTTACGCGCACCTCGTTATTTTTTAGGAAAAATTATCCACATCAACCATCACACGGTCCCTCTCCTCGACTATTTCTTAGGAGAAGTTAACCCACATCACCCATCTCTAATCCCCTTGGTAAATTAGCGCAAAGGTACTTTCTTTACTCCTAACAGGGAATGGAACATGGGACTGTGAGTTTAAAGTTATGGACAATCCCCTTGGTTACTACTTTCAATACTAGCAAATTTTCATATATTCATATATTATATTAGAAAAATTAAACAACCGACTAAATATTAATGTTGAACCTTTATCTGGTAGTTTAAACTTTTTAGCTTATAATAATTTAACGTGGTATCAAAACTCTCGAACTATTTCATAATTTCATATAGGATACAATAGACCATCAAATTCACGTTTTATATTAGGAAAATGTCTTTATACTAAGATTTGGAACGATTTCAAATTTTAGTAGAGGGTATTATCGTAAATTCCTTGAAAAGATTTGTCTTATTTCTCATATCCGTAATTTTGGAAAATATTATAAGAGTTTTTTACTCGTTGTTTTTAAGGGACTTTTTTATGATTTTAAGGGTTTTATCTCTGTCCAATTTCTCGTGAAATCTGTATACTTTTTTGAAGACATTGAATGTTGATTGTTAATAATTAAAACAATAGTAAACGAAATATTATTGTTAAACCCATTACGTAATAGTTTAAACTTTTTCGTCAGTAATATTTAAACACGGTATTAGAGCTCTCGAAGAAG